GCAAAATTCCGGATGAAGCGGCGGAAATATGAGCACAAACCAAGGAAGCTCCGGACATCCTCAGCAGAAGAGTGTACGGGAAATTGAGTCACTGACCGAATTTTGTCCAGGTCGGGCTGTACCCCAGATGCATTAATCCTCGAGGTGACCAAGTACAGTTATTTCGCGACGGCCGAAACGGCATTTGGAGAAGTTCAGCTGGAGACCAGCGTTGCGGAATACTTTGAGAATACTGGACAGTCGCTCAAGATGGCTCGCGAACGTCAGTGAAAAAACAATTATATCATCCAAGTAGCACAAGCAAGTAGACCATTTGAAGCCGCGCAGAAGGGAATCTATCATGCGCTCAAAGGTAGCCGGCGCATTGCAAAGCCCAAACGGCATTACTTTAAATTGATATAACCCATCGGGGGTTACAAATGCTGTTTTTTCTCAGTCTCGTGGGTCAATAGCGATCTGCCAATAACCAGATCGAAGGTCAATGGACGAGAAAAACTTTGCGCCATGAAGGCAGTCAAGGGCGTCATCTATTCTTGGTTAGGAATAAACGTCCTTTTTAGTGACCTTGTTGAGATGTCTATAATCGACGCAAAACCGCCATGTGTTGTCCTTCTTCTTGACAAGCATAACTGGGGATGCCCACGAACTAGACGAGTGTTCGACGCTTTTGGCGAGCATTTTCTCGACCTCTTTCTGGATGACAAAGAGTTCGGCAGCGGAGACACAGTAAGGGCGGCGATGTATTGGGTTGGCATCGCCAGTGTTGATGTGATGGGTCACAACTGATGTCTGGCCTAAAGGGCGGTTGTCTAGATCGAATATGTCCGCATAGGATGTCAAGAGACGGTGGAGGTCTTGTGCTTCGGAGGGCGAAAGATCTGGCGCTATCATTTTGGCAATGTAAATGCTTGAGAGGTTAGGCGCAGTGAGCAAGTTGACGTGAGGAGTAGGTTGCTCAGCTGATAGTTCAGAGATATCACACTCTTTCAACGATGACACGACGCCTAGTTTAATACCAACAGGCAGCACGTGCGCAGAGAAACCAAAGTTCAAAAGAGACAAATAGGTCTGGTTGTGGCGTACTCTCACGATGGTGTGCGGGACACCAATGGAATGCTTTAGCACGTCGGTAATGGGTGAAACGACATATTCACCATCGCGCACAGGCGAATCCCACAAGAGCTGCACGTAAGTCGCGGCTTGCGGTGGAAGATGCAGGAACTCGGTGGTACAAAGGCGACTTTGAGCATCAGGGGCAACAGCGACGTCAAAAGGCGGTTCCAACTGAAGAAGGCCCGTCGAGCAGTAGATAAGAGCGGAGTGTGCAGAGAGAAAGTCGAGACCGAGAACCACGTCATGTGGGCACTGCTCAAGCACGGTGAACAATAGGACGGTCTGACGGCCAGCAATACACACGCGAGAGGTGCACATGCTGAGAACGGTAGACGTGCTCCCATCGGCAAGCATTACTGCACACTAAAGAGGAGGCGTGATCACTTTTTGCAGTTTAATACAGAGAACAGCGCTCATGACTGAAATTTGTGCGCCAGTGTCTATGAAGGCTGTAACAGTTACGTCATCAACCAAAAGGTCCAAAATATTGTGGCGTGTAGGAATCATCAACAGAGGATTTGCAGACCTGGTCGTTAATGCAGCATCACCTCTGGAAGCTGCATGGTCTAGTTTCCTGAGGTTGAGGGCCCAGGTCGCGCAGGGAACTTGGATCGAGGAGTCATCAGCGAGAGAGACCGGTGGCCTTGGGGTGATGGTGACCGCCTGAACCTCCGGCCCTGAACGTTAGTAGCAGTAAGCTGGGCATCATGCCGAGTTCAAAGCGGCACCATGTCCCAGTGTTCCCGGATGAATTGGACGTCCAACTATTGCCACAGTAGCGCGCAATGTGTCCGGCGCGAGAGCAGTGAAAGCAGATCGGTCGATTATCCGGTGTCCTTCATTCAGCAGGGTTCCGGTAGTGGGAAAGGTAGCGTGAAGGGTACACCGGGATCTGGTTAACCGAAGCCGAACTCTAGGTAGTGTGAACAGCGCAAACAGGTGCGATGCCGAGATTTGCTATTTCTTGGCGAATGATGGCTTGGATGAGGGAGACGGTGGATGCGCTATCTTGAGGACCGTTGGAAGCGATGGCTGCAGGAGCCATTGCTTCGAGTTCGCGGCGAATAATCCGGGTGACATTTTCGGATGATGTAGCTTGCGTGAACCTGGGGCACCCTTCGCAGGTCGAAGTGGCTGCAGTATTAGGCAGGCGCGCAAACTGGTGGGTTATACGACGGTTCTTGGCGTGCTCGAAGCGCTGACATTTCTTCATTACCGCGTCGACGGTGGCACAATCTTTAACGATCAACAGGTTAAAGGCATCATCGGTAATTCCTTTTAATATGTAGGTGATTTTGTCAGTTTCGTTCATGTTCTTGTCCACCTTTCGACAAAGGCCCAATACGTCTTGTATATAAGATACGTACGATTCCGTCGATGTCTGCACGCGACCTTCCAGGACTTTCCTCGCGGCCTGCTGCCGTCCAAATGGCCTGCTGAACAAGTCGATAAGCTTCATTTTGCAAATGTCCCAGCTGGTCAACTCTGACTCATGCATCTCATACCAGGTGAGTGCCGTATCCCGCAAGTAAAATACAACGTTGGCCAGCATCAACGTGGGGTCCCACCTATAGTATTCGCTCACGCGCTCGTACAATGCGACCCAATCTTCGACATTCACGTTGTCCTTGTCTGTGCCCGAGAAGGTTCCGGGGTCTCGTGGAGGCAGGAGTATCAGAGGAGGCAGCTGCTGCTGCGGCTGCTGTTGCTGCGGCTGCTGTTGCTCTTGTGGGTAGGCTTGTCGAGCCATTGCAGAAAAATGAAGGTGGCGACCACTTCGAAGTTCCGTGTCGGTTTGCCGGGAAAGCCAGGTAAACCTACCCCACACCTCTACCAATAATCTTACAAGGAAACGTATTATTGCGGATATTTACGAAGTTTACTTGCGATGGCAATGGCTGACACAGTGGTGGGCTGGGACCAGTCTTTATCCACTTCGTAGTCTTTTTTTCCAAGCATAGACCCTCTACCGCTTCATGCCCCAATCTCACTACTGCCTTGTGGCAATATGTGGGGTTTAACGTCTCAAAACCACCATATGATTATGAGAGACGACGGAATGGAGGGCTCCGTAAATTTCGACCACCCGGGGCTCTTTAACGTGCACCCAAATTTGCTGCACTGAATAGGTGCTTAGCTTTCATCGAGATACTACTTGAAGTTACTTAGAGGCCTGAGGGCACACTGTCGTCTCCGGACTACGTCATACTCCCGTACTGCGTTACTACGAGCTTGTCACACCGTTTCGACTGGGACTGGTCCTTGATCTAGATTGAATTTCTCTGTCGCGATTGGCTCGTTTAACGCTAACTGTGGGAAGGGGCGAGAAATTAGATACCTATCTGACTTGATCGGAGGGAGGAGGTAAGTTTATTTACAGAAAGGCAGAGAGGTCGGCCTGAGCGATAGCTTGCTCTAGCCTGCTACTCTACACTGGGGGAAGAGAAAGGGGAAAAGAAAGAATAATGGATGACGATGGTGAGATAGAGAGGTGAGTATGTAATGTTCTTTCTAGTTGAGACACATTTTATAGCAGCGCACATAGTCCAGTTGTTTCCAAAAAGGTTATAACTGCTCTTGTGACCACAGATGCACTGTTGGTGTCTGGCCAAGGGCCCAACATGGTCTCATCAGTTAATGACCTACTGAGATATAGTTCAGTAGAAGAAATCAGTGTTTGTCGTTCACGATCGTATGCTGGGCAGACACAAAATATGTGCTCAAGTGTTTCTGGCACATCACAGTGTTCACAATTAGGACCGGTGTCACTGTGACCGATGATATGTGCATAACGTCTGGTGTACGCTACACCAAGACGAATGCGGTGGATCATACTTGTGAGTTGCCGTTTCAATTTAGGGGGCATGCAGAACCTCATTTCCGGGTCCCATTTGTGAAGTCGCTGGTGTCGCCGTTCCGGTTTGGTCCAGTGCTGAAGTGTGTAGCTGTGCATCACGCAGCGAGGCAGGGCGTTCGTGTCAGCTCATGAAAACGCAATGCGTACTTCAGGGGCACTGCTTAAGGCATTTTTAGCTTCAACGTCTGCCTCTTCGTTTCCCATCACGCCGCAATGAGCGGGAATCCACTGGAAAGATATAAGATGACCATTTGTTGAAGCAACCTGAATAAGTTCTGTGATTTCTATTGCCAAGCTGTAATACGGACCTTGCTTCATGATGCAATTAATGGTTTGCAAAGCGGCTTTGGCATCACAGAAAATCGTCCAGGCTCGAGGTCGCTCTCCGGAAATAAACCTTATTGCCTCCCGGATAGCGACAAGCTCTGCGGCAGTTGATGTGGTTTTATGGTCCACTTTGAATCGTCGAGCGATATCCATGTCTGGGATGACAAAGGCTGCGGCGGAGGTGTTTAGCGTGGTGGATCCGTCGGTGTACACGTGCAGAGAATCACTGTACGTTGTATAAATGTGATATAGGGCCAGTTGTCTGAGGCCAACAGAAGAAATGAGCGACTTCTTCGTGATTCCAGGTATCGTAAAAGAGACAGGAGGTTTAGGCAGGACCCATGGAGGCACTGCAGGGGCATTTGGCGGAGAAAACCTTGATGGTATAATATTTTCATGCCTTGATCGCGATTGAAAGTACACAGTGTAAAACCAGAGCTGGTAGAGTACCTTGATAGAAAACCTTGATGGTATAATATTTTCATGACTTGATCGCGATTGAAAGTACACAGTGTAAAACCAGAGCTGATAGAGTACCAAGAATTTGTGCCAGCTAGTTCGTGGTATTGGTGTGTACGAAACACACTACTGCAGTGGACACTGCTGCACCCACTGTCGACATCACATCGGTCTGTCGCACTCGGTGATTTTTCGACCCGAGTTTAAACAGGAAGACAACCGTTTCAATGTATATGAAACTTACCTGAGATCGAACATAATCTTTACACGGTCCATGCCAGTTTCGTTCGCCATAATTCTGCTTTCTCGAAAATCCTCCGGCCGAAACATCTCGCTCCGGAGGCCCTCAGGGGCGCGGCTAATTTTCGATTCATCTTGAAGTTGCATTGCGATTGCTTGATACGTCCGGTCGACGGCTCAACCGCGAAACTCACAATCGGTGAGCACAACTTCGGCCTAGCGTCGGCCCTACGGTAATGCTGACCACGGAGCAATCCAAGCGGCTCCCGTATAATACACCGAGAAACAGCTTCACGTCAAGACACTTCCGTAGTAGTTTCGTGAATGCATACGAACTTCGGCATGACTTCGCCGGCGCAAAAACTCGTGTTCGCAGGCGGCCGTCTGAATAGATTAGCTCTGCCGGGCTTGTTATTATTTTCACGTCTCATTCATTCTCAGAGCTCATTTCGGTTTGCTCGAAAGTTTGTAGGCGCAGTAGGTACTTTCACTAGACGTCAATGATGCTATATATGCATGTATTACTTGCGACGACTGTGAAGCTATTTGTTTGTGTCAGCGTGAATGATAGGTGTTGTGTGGCCGAACGACGAGCCTGGCCGAGCACGCTGAACCGGAAACTACACCGAAAGCGTAACTAAAATGTTTACAACCACATGTAAAGTAGAGGTGTAGAAGGAGTACCAAACGTAGCAGCATACACAAATGTCACTTTCGATATAATACCACGAGTATATGCATGCCTGATGAAAAAGTTGAAAAAACTAATATACATTCAAGCGCGTGATTGGCAACTGGTATGGGTTCGTGCATGTGTTTGTACGTATGTGATGGGCGTCAAAGAAACTATCAAAGCGTTCACTAATTCATGATTGAGTACATGGAAAAAAATAAACATCTAGTTTCCCAAACAAAGCAATTAAAAACGCGGTTAAAGTGAGCTCTTCAGCACGTTACAAAGCACGGTGCTGGTTGGCTAGTAGCGCCACTCAACAGGCGAAGCACAAAGCGAGCGTTGAACGCAAGTAGCTGTTGTTGGCTCGTGCGCGACTGGCGGTTTCCCCCCTCCGGTGGCTTTTCTGCGTATTCGCCATTTTGATCAATGCTGTGGCGTTTACCTGCCCTTTAGAGGCTAAAGGCGTTGCACGTCCAAAGCTACAAAGCGAGTCCCGCGCAAGAAGGAACCGGCACCAAGGTGAGGCATACCGCGACCCAGGAGCCGAGGCGGCGGTGGCGTAGGAGACGTTTACATAGGCACTGATCGTCGAGCCGGTCCGATGCGGGGCTGTGTACTTTGCGCGGTCTATTATGTTTGTCTCAACCGTGGCCCGTCGTCATCTTCAGTGCTTTAAGGAGGAGCTCAGCCCGCCAGCGGCACAACGATGAGCATCGAGTACCTGCGCGAGTACGGAGACCTCATGGAGCCGGGCGACTACGACGGCACCGCCATGCCTGGCCCCCCGCCACCGGCCCGGGATGAGCGTCAGAGGGACCGCGACAGGTGAATACTTATCAAAATTACAATCTGCACAAACGTGCGGCACTTCTGAACCGCCGATCTGTGATGTTGTGCTTGGTTGATTCACAGGGGCCGACGGGGCGAACGCAACCGAGGTCGGGAATACCGCGGCCGAGACCGGGAGCGCGACCGCATGCTGGAGCGGGAGCGGATGTTGGAGCGTGAGCGCATGCTCGAACGCGAGCGTTTGATGGACCGCGAGCGTCTGGTGGACCGGGAGCGTCTGATGGAACGTGAGCGCCTGTTGGATCGCAACTTCTACGATCGTCGTGACTACGATACGGTGAGTAGAGCTTCTCATTCAGCCAGCGTGCCTAGCAGCGTGGAAAAGACCATTTGCACAATTGAACTTTCCTGCGAGGCAGTTGGCGCATTGCAAACAGTGGGTTCAAGTGCATTTTGCATGCGCTGTGGCGCGGCAACTGTAAACTCGGGTCTCGCTCGCATAAGTGCGCATAAGAGACAAACCCCAGCAGATGAAACTAGGATGTTGTCTCCTCTAGAACTCTATATGTGCCGCCTTTAGTTAGGCGAGTATGCAACGTAGGGGGCGCACTTGCGGGTTACGAAAAGATTCTGGTGAAGTCTTGGAATCGTCTTGGAATTTTGTATAAAAAGCCAGGTCGGGGGGGGGGGGGGGGGGGTCATGGGAATTTACTAATGACATTTTTTGGGACCATCACGAAAATAATCGTTTTTTGTAATCAAGGCGTATAAGACGATGCTAATTTTTCTGCAGCCAAAGTAAACGGCTAAGCAGATGCATAAAAAAGAATGGGCAGGACATGACTGTTGCTCTTACAGATAACACAGAATATCTCAGTTCCAAGGCACGAGAATACTCACGCTGATAAATTATTGCTTGTCTGATTTGGCCATCTGGTTTAGCCAAAACACTGCGAGTATCGGCTCATTAGGCCGAGTCAATCTTATTGAGTGCTGATGCAATAGCAGACATCCTCAGTTCTACACTCAGTTCATGCAAATGCTTAATTTCTTTCTTCATTTTTTATTTTTTTACCTACTTGATAGCTTGTTTCCATTACACTGTCTTTTTTTCGACGGAGGCTTGCACCGGTTAGAGGATATGCCTAGAGTAGTTAGTCATGGAAGGCCCAGAGAAGTTCGGTAATTCGGAAAAGGTAATTGGTCGACACCTTGTTCAGCACCATCTGGGTGCACCCTGCATTTAAACCATCTGGTCTCTCTTATTTTCTCCTCACCTGATTCCACAGTCACCGGTTGGCCGCGAGATGGCAGCTCGCGATGTGGCAGCTCGCGATGTGGACTACCGTGGCCTGGACGAACCACCAGACCGATACCCCCGGCGGAGAGAATACGACGACATAGACCGCGACCGGCCGAGGCGCCGCGATCGTGACCGGGACCGGCCCTACCGTGACCACTCGTGGGACCGGGACCGCGGACGGGACCGAGACCGTGACAGGGATCGAGACCGGGACCGCAGTCGGGACCGAGATCGCATGTTGGATCGCCGCGATGAGATTCCAAACAGCACCATTATGGTTCGGGGCATGCCGGTGGACACAACGGACGCCGATGTGAGTGCTTCATCCCCGTGCGCTCTGCATGCTTGACTTCAGGTACAACACCCGTTGAGCTGGATATGACTCTGGCAAGATTGAGCTTTAGCACTGCTAAGGCAGTTCTTTTGACGATAAGGGTAAAGTGAGGGATAGAGAACAATAGCGGGAGCACTTCAACCAACAATTTGTCGAAATCTAACAGCTATTCTGTATTTTACTGCATTGGTTAAATCGTTCTTCCTAGTGCAGCCATACTTGCAAGCAATTCTATCTCTCCCAACAAGCGGCGCCCTTAATGATCAGGTGCTTTTCATTTGCTTTTGATTACCCAAAAAGGTTCAGACTGTTTCACTCATGATGACAATGTTGTAGTTTAAAAGCATGCGTTATGCTTTTGAGGTGTATTAAAGTGGGGGTATCATAGTTGGTAATGATTATTAGGCCTCAGTGGCTGCTATTGCTAGGGTACGCTGCATATTCAGTCGCAGCTCGGCATCAAAAGCAGCTCCTGAATTATGTGCAGTTCAGCCACTAGGGGATCTAGCTAATACAAACTGTATGCCCCCTTTGAAGCTTTGCAACATCGGCAGCTTCGCATGTGTAGCTGTGAAAGGCCCCTGCGATGTAGTTAGTTATGTATTTGCAAAGTATCTTTTCAACATGTCTAGTATGCTGCACAGGCGTAGGTAAACAAGGTTGCATTCGCAAAACTGTGAGTATCTTTTTTCTTCACGGCACAAGGGCACGTTCCGAAAGCCACGCATGGTAGACAGTGATGCGTGGGTAATTACGTCGCTAACGTTACGAATGTGTTGCAAATTTCGTTTCTGCAGCACAAGCGACGTCAGTTGGAGTCGGAGTTTGGATGCTTCCTATGCAGATTTCAGCAAGATCGTGAATGGAGTAAACATTCAAAGACCATTGTCTGAAAAATGTAAATGGTGCACACAATTTCTGTGGTCAGTGACGAGTCTTGAGAGAGCAGCAAAGGCATCTGTGCGAAAAGTGGGCTTAGCCCTGTTGCATCGCTTTCAAGACAGCATGCTATTAACATCCGGTATATGCAAGCTTCATTGTCATCCGCGCTTTCCGAGTATAGTAGACTCGCAATGATTCATACTTTCGGTTAATTCAAGCAAAATTCAATTTTTTGGTTGGCGTTTTATTTTTCAATGTATTTAAAAGCTTCTTAATTCAAACTCCATCATTTGGATAATTAATAATTTTTGCAGGTCTATACCAGAAAATAGCAGCTGCTTTCCCACTTCTATTTAAAAATTTTTGTGCTTATATAATCCTAACAGTCTAAATACAAAAAATAAGCACCTGATGCCTTCAAGGAAAAAAAAGCTTTGCACGAAAACAAATGTTTGAAACAAAGCACATGCATGGTAAACCGTGATGCTTCTCAACTGGTGTGCTTTGTGCTGAGGGCACATATCTACAGCCAAGAAGCAGTTGGTAATTCAGGATTTCTTTAAAAGGTTTGATCAGCAGTAAATGGCCAGTAAACTTCTGGACTTAACTCCTCTGTTTTTTGTTCACTGCATTCACAAAGGGCTTAAAAAGCACTTAAAAAATTTTAAATGTGATAAAATCAATACCTAATCATAATGTGTGATGTCACGTTACCCAGAGTCTTCTATTTGAAAACTTCTAATAATTGTTACTTCTTGATAATTCAAACAGAATTCAGAGGTCCCTTCGAAGTTGAATTAATGAGAGTTGACTGTAGTGGGGCACTTTCAACCCATGTGGTCTATTGAAGCACTCAACATTGTGTTTTACTTCATTAAAAAAAAACAAAAAAAACTTGACAGTTGATGTATGCTTGTGTAGCTTAATGAACTTGCATAAGTGTACATGTTTAAGCGGGATTGAAAAATGGGGATTAAGTTCCATGAAATGAAAATGAGTAGCAGCTGATTGTAATTCTTTCGCTTCCCAAATCCTCATTTCCTCTACTTCGCACTTCAGGGCTTCATGCTGCTTATTTTCATCACTGTTGTAGATCCCCTCACAATTATTTATGAGTGTAGCAATTTGGGATCACTTATGCCTCTTAATTTAAGTTGATGTGTGTTCCTGCATTTCGCCCCTGTCAAAATGTGACTGCGAATTGAACGCGTGACCTCAAGCTTGGCGATGTTAACACTTCGCCTTCTAAGCTTTGATGATGGGTATTGCTAGGCATAAAAAGAATCTAATATGTAGGGGGGAGGGGTGTCTTTTTTTGCATTTTGGCAATTGAATGTTTTAACGAGCATGGTAAGCAATGGTGCCAGTTTTTCTATTGTGTGAAGTGTAAAAGTACAGTCGTGTTGGGAAATATAAGCTAAAACTATTGAGAGGACCTGTGCGCAAAGCCTTATTTCTCTGTTCTGAAATAAACGTGCAAATGATGTGCTGCACTCATTTGTGAAGTACGTTTTGTCGCAAATAAGCAGCAACACACGTGAATACATTTTGTTATATTATGAATAAGTGCTTACTAAAGAATGGGACTGAATCCCAATAAAGAAGGGTCTAAAGCAGGTAGACACAATCTCTCTGATACTATTCACCGTGTGTTTAAAGAAGGTTTTTAGGACCCTAGATTGGAAAGAGTTAGTAATAAGAGTTAATGGAGAGTATCTTAGTAACCTGTGATCCGTTGATGACATTGCCTTGATGAGTAACTCTGGGGACGAATTGCAACTCTTGATAACGGAAATAAACCTGGAAAGCACAAAAGGAGGCCTCAAATTAATATGCATAAAACTTAAGTAATGCGGAACAGTCTCTGCAGAAAACAGCACTTCGCGATGAGTGGAGAGACGCTGGAAATTGTAAAGGAATATGTCTACTTAGGACAGGTAGTAAACGCGGAGCCAAACCATGAGAGTGAAATAACTAGAAGATTAAGGATGGGGTAGATCACATTTGACAACCATTCTCAAATCTTGAATGGTAATCTGCAACTAACCTTCAAGAGGAACGTATATAACAACAGCATCTTGCCGGTACTTAGCTACTGGGCAGAAACCTGGAGACTTAAAAAGAGGGTTGAGATTAAATTGAGGACGATATAGCGAGCAAAGGAAAAAATAATGGTAGGTGTAACCTTAAGAGACAAAAAGAGAGTAGAGTGGATCTGGAAACAAACTGGGGTTAAGGATATCATAGTTGAAATCAAGAAGAAATGGACATGGGCCGGCTATATAGCACTTAGGCAGGATAACCACTGGTCATTAAGGGTAGCTGACTGGATTCCCAGAGAAGGCAAGCAGATTAGGGGGAGACAGAAAGTTAGGTGGGCAGATGAGATTAGGAAGTTTGCAGGTGTAAAGTGGCAGCAGCTAGCACAAGACTGGGTTAACAGGTTAATCATAGGAGAGGCCTTCGTTCTCCAGTGGACGTGGTCAGGCTGATGATGATGAGAATGTACGGTGGGCGGGGGTATGTTATCAATTTCGACTTTGTATGACACAGTGGGGACGACTCTGGAGGGTGTAAGGCTATTGCACAATTTAGCTTTGTGATTGAAAAAGTTCAGCATTAAACGAGTGTTGTTGTCTCACAAGAACTGTAAAACTGGGTGACATCTTCACGTTGGCTGCTCCAAACTTGCCCAAAAAAGCCTTTCTGGCTGCTTTAAGCCTGCTGCAAAAGGCACATTATGCATGCTCCTAGGACTGCTCCCAAACACATGTACCCTGTACCACCCCTGACTATGCCATAATTCTTCCTTTTACCGTTTGGCAAAGTGCCCCACTGCGTCCGTAAGGCAACATGTGCACTTCTGCACTTTGTTGATGCTAGTTCTGATTATGACGATTCATTATGGCTGAATGCTTTGTTATGGGTAAAGCTTGAATGCGCCCACTAGTAGCGCAACTCATATACATTGTAGACCACTCATAACATAACCGTTTATAGTGCAGGAGGTATTTACAATGCGGTCTTTTTTGACTCCTGTTACCCTCCCATAGAACTCCATTTACCACTTATTGTGCAGTCCGCCAAGTTGAAAGACCGGTTGTAATATATATAATGCGATTGCCAGAAAGTCTTTGTGACAAATGCGGTGTGCGCTGGGTGCACCACCGGGGAGTGAGGGATGAGGTCATTACGGAGGCCACGTGGAGTGAATGAATGAAGGGAGGACGGAAGAAAGGTAAAAAAAGATCCCGTCCAATGCGTGGGCTCGCCGCCTTTGCATCGACGCCGACGGGGCTACAGTGTACGCGTTGCTAGCGTGGCTCAGGTCGCGCGCAGCTGAACAGGGCACGTGCAGTCCCGTCTTTATCAACTGCTCTTAAGTTTCCTTTCAAGAAGAGAGTTGTCATTATCGAGCTTGCTACAGATAACGCGTTTGCTACCTCGTCTGTAAATTTTAAAACTTATACGTTTTATCACGCGAGCTTTTGCCTTTGCTGCCAGTGAGTGGTCTTACGTAAGCTTGGCGGGTTTTTGTCTTTTTTGATCTCCCGGCTGCAAACGCAAACTTCGTATCGCGTATGCTGTTCTTGGTTCAGTGCTTGAGTGCGATCTTTTTGATGCCCGATCTTCATGTCTTGGACAAACTTTCCGCAACAACATACCGAATGGCAGGCTAGGGCTAATCGGTGTTGGATGCATTTCATTCGTGGTCGTGTGCTATTTATAAGCTGTGGTTTGGTACGGAATCTATGAACTTTGCGGTGGCTGACTTGACAGTAAGGAATACTTATCGTTAATGAAAACGAGGGTGGCACGTGTGACGCTGGAGTGGTGATTTGCAATTGGATTACCACGTCTCGAAATGGAGTGTACACCCGTGAAATCGAACGATTGCCTTACAGCCCGTGAAAATTCGGATGCAATTCGACATAGTTTCTGTGTAATGCGAATAATCGAGGTAGTCCGAGAAGTAGTCCACGAATTTCTGCGATGGTGCTTTCTTTTGATAAAACCCCCGTCCCTCCCTTTCGTGTTCATTCCGTTGGCAAATCGTATCTTTGGACTTTACATTTAAACATTTGGAAATTTATATGCTTGTAAGCACCATTCATGGCATGCTTTGGCTTTCGGACACCCGAGGCTGAACGCTGAACACATTTTGCGCTAGTGCGGCCCTTGTAAAAGGTTGTTTTGGTTCAGTGCGGATATTCATGACTCCCATGACTTGCGTTATAAGCAGTCTAAACCGTATTTTCATGCCAAGAGGATTCCACACATATTCCAAGCAATATTACTTGTGCTAATGGCGCTCCTCGTGATACTTAACATTAAAATAGTGTTTTTTGTTTTTTTTTAATAATTTCAAGCATAGTCCTAGCTTTGTGGTTAAACACCTGCCAGGAAGCCTGAGTTCGATTCCCACTTAAAAGGAACATTTTGTTATTGTTTACTTATTTTCGCTCGTTATAATTTTTCACTCACAGGCAACACTGATTTTTCACTTGCAAACCGTGACATTGACGCCGGTATTTCCGCGAAATGAGCTCCTTAACTCTATCGTGTTAAAATCGCAACTTGAACAGCCACAGGTGCGGCAGTGTGAGAGGCCATTTGCTGCTGCATTCTGAACTCGTCACTGTCCACAGTGCATGTACCAAGTGTTGATCTGTCTTCTTGTCTGTGGTGTGCGTGATTAAAGGGTACTACACTCAGTTGATATGTGCATTTTGTAGGTAAATTTGTGTCTGTTTGGAGGCAGCTCTTTGGATTTTATGTATGGGTTGCAGCCAGATTTGGTGCATTTCCCACCAGCAGGCAATGCTTGGGAGAGTCTTGTCACTCGAGCATTCACAACCTGAATATTGCGTCACGTGTGACGGAAAGAGTCAGGTGTGTGTCGTATGATTCGATGTGAGATTAAAAAAGCAATGCTCCCGAGAAAGCTTGTTCTGCAGCACTTATAACACCACATTAGGGAGATTTCGACTACAGTGTGTGATGTACGTGACATCGATGTGCGACACTCTAATAATTTTTAAGGATGATAGTCTTTCTTGGGATACTTAAATGCACAAATTTCGGTCTGCCTGTTGAATGGTTCATTTGAGCCCCTTGTTCAATGCCCACGCATCTTGGTCTGGTGGTTGCATTCATACTTGTTAGCATTTTCAATCAAAAAGCAAATATTATGCGTATTTGAGGCGCAACATCAATACTTTAGTGTTAGACAGTGTGTCTTTTTATTTATAAAGTGCATAGATACGTAATTCTAAAGACTGAAGTGTTTATTATGCTGCGCTGACAATGCGACACTATGAATGAAAAAGCGGCAGTTTCCTACGCTTTGCTAAAACAGTCAAGGGCTTTGACTAAAAAGAACCCAGTGCTGCCACCTACCAATGTCACTGCGTTCTAAAAAACTTTTGTTTCTTCACATTGCTGCCAGGTGGCGCCTTATCTCACAGGATCTATGATAATACTTGGGGTAGTTCTCTACTGTTTGAGGCCAGGACGGGAGTATTGCGAACCAAGACATATCGGGCCAAATACGAAGGGGTAGACACAGTCGAAGGGGTAGACACAGACACAGTAGAACTGCCGAACACTTGATAATGTTCTGTAAAGGGCTTCACCCTATAGTTCAGGATGATGGTGCAGAGTTTTTCAAAGCACTGGGGTTTAGGGACAGGGAGGGCAAAATAGACTTTAAGCGGGTAGACCTAACTAGAAGGAGGTTATCTGATTGGTGGCTAAAGTCAAGGCACGAGTGAAAATTGAACCCTTCACTGCAAAGTACCCGTCCAACTTGACTACTTAAAGGGAAAAAAAAGATACATCTAGTGGTTAGTTCACTAAGTATTGCGGCTAGGTGGTGTTAGCCGCTGCCCGATCTAAAGGGGGTACAGCCACATCCATCCTTTTCCCAAACAGAAGACTCGTGTTTCGACGTCCTTTGCAGTGAAGCACAGAGATAAGCGGCCAATTTTTAGATACAATGTGGAATCTATCTTATGATATTGCTAGCACTAAGAAAGGTACCAAGTCCTTGCATTTTACGGCTGTTTTAACTCCGAAAGGTTTGCCTGTGACTGTTGTTACCATGTCTTCCATAATCATCGTTTACATTCATGTCATAATCAGAGTACTGAGGAAGCAACTAGGGCATTTAATTTTACAGATATATGAATTACAAAATGCATAATGCTTTTTTGACATAGCAAGAACATTGCTTGCCAATTATTTTGTTAGAGACAGCATTGGGACAATAAAAGTTGTGCTGCGGCCTCTAGGATCAGGTCGCTGTGTGATCGTAGACGCACTAGTGATGGCATCATCTGAGCAGACTTGGTGCCCTGCCGCCGTAGCCTAGTGGCTAAGGTACTCTGCTGTTGACCCGCAGGTCGCGTGATTGAATGCCGGCTGCATTTTCGAGGCAAGCGAAAATGTTGTAGGCCCGTGTGCTCAGATTTGGGTGCATGTTGAAGAACCCTAGGCGGTCAAAATTTCTGGAGCTCTCCACTACGGCATCTATCAATCATATGGTGGTTTTGGGACGTTAAACCCCACATATCAAATCAATCAAATCATGAGCAGATTTAGTAGCCGCAGCACATCAAGTTCTTTTGCATAATACGGATGCTCTGAAATAGTCTATGATACCACGGAGAGGGAAATTTGGCTAAGCATGGAAAGCAAATCTGTAATTTAAATATCTCGGCCTTGGAAATAAAGTTTCTCTCTGGAATAGTCTACAACAGTGGTTCTCGGCCATGAATGTGTCTGGGTCCCCTTGCAGCGAAGGGGAGGGAGGGGTGGTACGTAGGTAAATGAACACAACTGGAGCGTGAAATGGGTGTCTCTTGTTGCTACCAAAAACATTAAACAAATGTGCCACATCACTTCACTTTGAACAGTTCATCAACACGTGGCGCAGTCACGCTTAAGAAAAATTTGGGTGAGGGTTTCGCGGATCATAGAAATGGCTTCGTGGACCCCCATTTGAGAACCACTGGTCTACAATAAGGTCTCTAAGCTTAAAGAGGCATTGGTATCTAAAATAAGAACAGCGCAGTTTTTCCGTGGAACGTTACCTTGGGTAAAAGCTGCACAAATATCTCATTTCTTGTAAGCATGGGTTGTGGGCTTAATAGGTGGGGTAAATATTGAGCAGTATGTATTGCAGTTTTGAATATGTAAAGAAAAAAACAGTAATGCAGTACATATAAAGTGAGTCATGTCTCTCCCATTAGCATTTCTTGCTGTGTGGCAAACTAATTCTTGTAATACGACGAGTAAATCTGTAAAGTAGGGCTCCAAAATTTTTCTTCGTTAATTAACACTTCTATCATTAGTTACTAACATTCAGGAAGGCTATTGTATTGTCCTTATATGGCCATGAGGGTAGATGAGCTCTCATTGGCCAGGGCCGATGGACAACCTGTGCTAATCCATTCTTTTGTGTCTGCAGCTGCGAAATGAAGTGGTTCGCTACGGCCTTGAGCCGAAGGACATCAGACTTATGAAGCGCAAGGACACAGGTGGGCATCCTTCTTTATTTTCATTCATTTTTTGTCTGGAGTGCTACACAATAGTTTTTGTGACTATTTGTTCATCTATGTTTATGTGTTTGAAATCTCTGCATTGTTCTTCTGTAGCATGTTGTTCTGTTGTTTGTATCCTAAACTCACATTGCTTCATAGGTATTTATACCTTTATAATGGTTTTGTATATTCGCTTGTACATGGGTAAAAATGATTAATGTGCACCTGATGGTTTGTTAGTGTGATGTTTTTATGATGCATTTTTTTATTTTCCTTAGGCAGAGCTTGGCTTTTGTAGCAAATGATTCTTGAAATGCACGTTTCTGGTTTCAGAGATCATGTTCAAACAATTGTTGACTGACACCAGTGTGGAAGTGCCCTCCAGGGTTCACAGTTTGGTGCAGTTACCGTAATTACTCGAATCTAACGCGCACCTTTTTTCCGGTTAAGCGAGCTCATAAATCGCATGCGCGTTACAATCGAGTACAAACGAAAAAATTATGGTCAATCTATTGCCATTGGCAAATCCAAAATGGCCGCCCCCTACGTGCGTCGACATGGCACGTCGGCCATATCTGCCTATGTGTTTCCCATGTGCGGCACTTCGTACGTGTGCTGAGGAGTTCGTCATCTACTAGTGCATTAGCATTGACGGCGTGGAAGGGCCGACTCCAAATACTCGAGTGCACCACGATGCCGCTTTTAAAAGAAAAGTCATCGCGTGTGCAGAAACGGACGGAAATCGGGCCGCATCGCGGTCGATCGGAGTTCCCGAAACGTGCGTGCGGGACCGGCGGAAACAAAAGCAGAAGATTGTCGACAGCAAAGCTTCCCGCAAAGGCTTCAGTGGACCACAGCAGGGTCGGTTTCCGCAAATTAAAGAGCTGCTCGGCGAGTATGTGCTTGAGCAGCGAGCGGCACAGCGGCCCGTGACGACAGAACTGCTCCAAGTGTGGGCTATGCAATTAGTCTTAGAAAAAGGTCTAATGCGGAGCCAGTTTAAAGCGAGCAGGTGCTGGCTAACTAACTTTATGAAGAGGAAAGGCTTTTCCCTCCGAAGGGGAACATGCATATGCGAAAACTTTTGCGGAGGAGTACGATGAAAAGCTTCACAGTCTTCAGAGGTTCGTCCTAAACTTGCGGCGCAACAACGGCTACCTGCTTGGGCAAATCGGGAATGCCGATCAGACGCCTCTTTACTTCGATATGCCTGGCACCACAACCGTCGAGAAGAGAGCGAAGCAAGTTCACGTGCTGACATCGGTCCACGGTAAAACTACAGTGACGACAATGCTCTGTTACACGTCAGATGGGCACAAGCTTCACCCGTACCTTATATTTAAATGGAAGACGCTCCCGAAAGGAGTCGGTTTTTTTTTTGTTTTTTGTTTTTTTCGAGTGGTGTGATCGTGCGGGCCAGCGAGAAAAATGGGTGCGCGTTGCAATCGATGTCTTACATTTTTTTTTTTTTTTCCGCGGTGGAAATCAGGGTGCGCGTTACAATCGAGGGCGCGGTAGAATCTAGTAAATACGGTAAACCTCGAATTCAGCAAAGTCTCTAATCGCGGAAGTGCACTGTAGCGTAGAGCCCACTTTTTGACGCGCAGTAGTGATCGCATGCTCTCTGTACTGGTTTCGAGGAGGATAGGACTCTGGTTTTGCCCTTAACCACTGTTGAAAAGGCACGGCTGTGCTTCAATGACCACTTTCTGTATGTTGCACAAGGCGGGAGTTTTAAAAATGTGATTGCTAGTATTTTACTTATGGCAACAAGAGCAGCTGCAATCAATTGCCTTCTTTTCCTTTGCAGTAGCAGTAAAACTTCATTACGTTATGGTCACTTCATTACAGTGGGCCTAGAACTCATCATCATGCTGGTGTTAAAACTACATTGCCCTTTATGCTGAGGGAGTTATAAAATGGGTTGTTATAGTATTGTGAAAATAATCTTTATTGCAGTTTGTTATAACGAGGTTCAATTCCAACAATGCTTTGCATTGTGTGCCTAAAATTGTTGTAGAGGTACAGGTCGAACAGGTACAGGCAAGAAATCCAGCCTGCAACGACTCAATGTGTTTTGTCTTTGTTCCCCAATTAGAAACATCCTTGATAGCCTGAACTGGTCCAGTTCAACTTTTTTTTTTCCTCTCTCTCTCTAGAAACCCTTTAGTAGTCTAAGCAAGTCTGTGACCCCTCATGTACTATAGTATCCATTTCCACTTTTGGTGCTTCTCGAGGTTGACTGGCAGTGACTCTGAGACGACCAAGATGGAATGCCTTTCTCTTTCTAGTTCCCGCATCAGATGTGTTGTTGCTGTGTTTCTGCTTGCAGCTACTTTGTCACTCCGGACATGGCATACCGCTTTTGGAAAGTAAAATAAAATGGGAAGGCATTTTTCCCTCACAACCTTTCCGGAGGGGACTGCAATGTGACTGACTGAATTTTATTTGCACTGCAGTTTTGTTTTGTGCTGAAAGTGCACAAATACAGTTAGATCCCTTTATTAGAGGCATGCTCCAGGCATCGATTCTTGTCTTTTATTTGAGATGTCTTTTATAAGCAGGGGACCTTGTATACATTTTCCTATCCCCCATATTTTACTATAGACACACTGGTGTCTCTCATACCCGTTTGTCTCTTATATCAGAGTCAGTTTAAAGGGGTTTGACTGTATTTGAACCAAGTGCATAAGTGGATAGGGTAATGGAGTTGGCTTCAAGGCATACACAGCGAAAAAAAATTTTATTTGCACCGTGAAAAGAGCTTTTAACATGGAATCTGGCAGTCTGCATGTGGCTGCAATGCAAGTTGTATCATTATCTCCACAACTGTGCTGGTTTCTGTATTGCATTCTTTCAAGCAGTGTAACTGTTTCTTCTTATAAGGATTCGCTGTATGCCTCGCTGTGTGCCTCAATTCACTGTGTGGCTCATTTTACCTTGTCTGCCGCTGCAAATTACATTTAGACGTATGCAGGGCCGTAACTTGATAGCTGCAGCTAGATTACATAACTGCTGATGTGTCTTGAAATTGGAGTTCTTCAATGAACACTTAGTGGGAAGGAAGGCCGCATCTAGACCGCAAAGGCATTTTTTCAAATGATCTTTCCAAAATCAAAAGGGCATTTTCAAAACTTATAAGCTCACGAATTAGCCCAGCAGTATATATCACCCTTTTTCACCTTTTATTTTTTGCATGCAAGAATAAGAACAATAAAAAAAAATCGAAAATGTTTCGCTGCATTATTGTCTCTTTTTTTTTCTTTTTGTGACATGTTTCATTATTCACTTGACTACCAACTGGCATTCATGTGTTTAGTTGTATAAATAAATTTGCTGATTAGTTTCATGAGCTAGCTGTAAAAGCTGTCTTGCCCTTTTCTTCTATACGTGGTGGATCCAACTATCTGTTTATTCGTATCAGTGGAATGCACTGTCAATTCTAAAAGTTATAGTAGCTGGTCATAATAAGCCCTTATATAAGTATAAACAAACTTGGGTAAAATTGTGCCATTTGCACACTCATCATGTTAACCCATTCACTACCAGCCGAGATTTTGGGTTCTTTGCATCAGGGTGGCATTGCATATTGACGTCTATTCGTGCTAGTTTGTCGGTTGCTGCATGAAGTACATGGTTATATTTGACGCTCATACCCACTCTCTATAGACCGCCCTTGTGCCAAGATGCTGGTGCACATTACAGTGGGCATGTAACCAGAATATTTTTAGAAGCTTAGTATAGCTAGTATAACTGGAACATAAATGGCCATGCAGTTAAAAATAATAATCATATGACAGTAAAAAAATGCTTGCGTGATGCATTGATGGTCCATAATATGCATCACATGTTGGGTCTTTCTGTGTCACTCTCAGGAATGATTGAAAACACAATGTTAAATTTTCGCTTTAATGGCAGGTTGCACCGTGCAGTGCTGACAAATTGAAACAACATTTCAGGGCTAAGTAATGCATGTGCATTTGTTTCCAGCGCCTTAACTTAATGTCATAACTTCTGGTTGAGACTCGAACGCCCACACCATCACGACCATTGGGTTTAGGTACCAGACTCTTGGCAAGATGACAGTTATCTTGAAGTTATTGTGTCTTAACAGTGCATGTAGGGTATATGCCGTGAAAATTAGTGAATGGGTCAACATAACAGAATACGTACGCCAGATGCCATCAAGCGTCATCCTGTGTTTCTATGAACAAATTGTACACTTGCCTTCCTTTTTTTAGCGGCATGATAAGGCTGGCATGTGAGAGTGACATTTGTGAGCAGCACACAGTTTGTTTGGATAAGAAAAGGCATGCAGCGAAAAAAAAGCATGCACAACTAGGCGTTTCACAATGCAGCCCGTCATTGGAAACCAATGTTATATATGCAAAGCTTCGATCAGTTTAACCTGTGCTTCATGGCCGAGCTAGTTGCGGCTATTTGTGCCAATTGTGCACTGGTATGGGATAAGCGTAGCGCATTCTATGCAAGAAATCTGCACTGGCTGAAGCGGATGACAGCACCTAGTGAAATGTACAGCAAAGCTCGGCACCTGCTGAGCTTAGGATTAGCGGAACCAACACGGTCGTGTGATACCTTGTGTGCCAAACTCTAGTTTTTCTAGGGTCACACATACTAAGACCAAGTATTTAGTTCACCTCTGTGTACGTCCATGCTACTTTTATTTCTCGAGTGTGCAATGTTTTAGCTAGCTGGGAAGAAATATGTCAATAGAAAGAAAACCTGTGGGCTGGTTCGCAAATGGCTAACAAACCCGTGATGAAAGCGACGGACAAGCTGGACAGAAAAAGCCGAGCATCCAAGAGCTGCTGCATCGCGCGCAGCTCACTTAAGAACTCTCGTGCCAAGCCTTGCCATCACTCCCGTCAGCGGCACGTGCCTGATGGTCATGACGATCGCACTAGCTTCCCGTACGAGCGGAGGATGGACAATGGACTCTGGCGTGGTACCAGCCGACGAAGCACGCACTTTGTCGTTGTTGTGGTGTTCGCCGCAGTGGTGGGGTGGTGTGACGGTGCTTCTCTCACTCACTCACTGTTTTAGCCTCTCTTTTTTTTTTTCTTTGTTTTAACCACCGAGTGTACTAATGGTTCGCTCCCTTGGCTTCTGTGACCACCCCTTTGTAGGTGCCTCCAGGGGGTTTGCATTTGTGGAGTTTCGCTATCTCTCCGAAGCGGTTCGGTGGAAGGAACTGACAAAGGTGTTGTCCCCTCGTTGCGCCGCTTCGGCCACTTGCCAAGAGTGGCCCCCACCGGCCTTTTCTTCGTTCCCACCACCTCTTCCTCCTTCCTTCAGCAAAGAGCACTCCGTTCCCGGTTTCTCTGTGTCGGTGCCGGGAACAGGATTTCTTTCTGAAAATGCGCGCGCGCGTGCTTGCAGCTTCGACTGTGCCAGTGAAAAGTGCTAGGCTGTGCCTGCCAGGCAGATGTCTTGCAGAGATGCCGACGTGGCGAGGCCCCCCCTCCCCTGGGGACAGTTTTACAGACTTGTGCTGTTCTGTTGTACCAATGCTGCGATTTGAATTGGCTAAGAAGATCAAAGGACCAAAAAGTTCCTTCATTGCTATGCTATAATTTCTTTCCGTTCAATGCATCTCAGCGGAAAGTTGATAGAACGGCTGGCTAATATGTACAGGTGCTCCGATAGCAAAACCGAGCACGCGAGCTGTGGCCAAACTATGCGAATGTGAATGCCAGCGCGCTCCATCAGAGAAGCAGTGCCTAATTTTTACACGGAAATGTGCCGCATAATTTTTCTGTGGAAAAGCTTTACTTCTGGAGCACATGCCTGTTATGCTCCTTGTGCGAACGTAAACTAATAGAGCATGCTAACAGTGTCTGAAGACTGTTTTTATCCATTTTTATCAACCTGAGAAGGGACTTCGACAGCAACAGTTGCATTAGGCCACACTCTCTTATCTGTCAGTCAGTGCCTTGCACTGATGAACTGTCGTTGAAAATGCATATAGGCATAAGCATTGTATGTGCAGGCGAGCAGCTTGCTTCCTTCTGAATACGTTTCATTGAAACTGCACAGAGGGCAGTGTTTGTCTGATTCAGCTATACTTCTGTGAAAACATTGGTTTAACATTCCAAGGCTCGCACCTGCAAGGCCACATGCAAGACATCTGCGGCACAGGTCACATTCAGAACCAGTTTGGAGCCAGCAGGCAGCTACTTTGCGTTGCATGAAACTTATTATTGATAGCTCAACCAGTAACGAAGTGCTGATCGTTCAGCAATGCCAGCAGTCCTTGACAGACAATACATTTGCACTGATCGCTAAGATTTGGTGGACATCAGTGAGCATTTAGGAGTCAGGCTCAATTTTGCTCTCAGTGGGCCTGCAATCAATGCATTAGAACTTTTTATTCAAAATCTCCTTTGGAAAACACTTTTTAACCTTAAGTTACACGTTATTTTTGAAACCGATAAGAATTTCAAGCGAATGAGCTCATAGCTTTGAAGAAGTTACTCTCACCCTTTTTGTGCATGAGTGCAGTGTTAGCACTCACTGTTTACACATGCTGGCAAGTGGAGTTCATCAGCACAACAATCTGCACCGTCATAAGAAAAGCGAAGACTCTGAAGAAAAAAAAAAAAAAACCTGTGCATGGCACCAGTGTAAACTGCGAGACCATTGAAGGCCCACCTAGTTATGCTAACTACTTATGTTTTCGTTATTCATAAATTGACTAATTACTGTTTATATTGATTAGCTTTGTATGTCAGCATAGCAACAGTCAGCCAGTACTTTAGGTCACCTCAGATTGCCAATGTTAGAATGGATATTAGTGTGGACAGGAAAAGCTGGCACAGCTGGGTACATGTTTTATTTAGGCACCTCGAACTTGCGCTATCTGCGAGTTTGCTGCACGAGACTGGCAACGGCAAATAAAAAGTGTTAGGCACGCAAACTGGGCAGCATTCCTGGCACAGTCGAATGGCTACCGAATGATGCATCAAGGCGAGATCAAGCTTCTATTGTACCAGTGCGAGATTTTCGCACATCTTATGTTGAATATGTGGTTGAGGCTACTGCTATTGCAGCTGTGTTTTTTTTTACTCTACAGATGAGCCAGGTGAAAGCTTTTCCAAGTAAAAAAAAGTTGAGTGAGTGGGTAGGTGGGTGTCTATTGGTTTCAGAGAGATTCTTGAAAGGCCTTTGGATGCATCAGGTCGGAGCCTGCCTGCCAAATGCAGTGTCTGTAGTTGAAGAAAGGCACACTGGCCGGAGCCTTCCTTGCCGCCTTGCTGCCATATGTTCACACTATGCCAACATGCTCGTTGTAGCATTTCTCTAGGCAGAAAACTGTATTTTTACAGCAGCTAAGACGTGCTGTTGTTGTACACTCATGCGGAAATCATTGGGTTTTTGTCATTTTGTTCTGAACAGCAGCTTAAACTGGGAAAGGAGCCATGTAGCAAATTCAAATGATTACTGGAAATGCGAAAGCTGTTTCACATTCTGCATTTTTACTCCGCTACCATTTTTGTTCACATTGTCACTGCCATTTAATATTCACTTCTGAGGAGTAATGCGTACGTTGTTTTTTAATTTTTCATTAAGAACCCTAGGAGTGCTTTGAACACTGTAAGATCATTGCGAGGGGGTAGTTATGGCTGTGCTCTCTGTAAAAATGAGAGCAAAATGTTTTTCATATACACAAAGTAGAGAGTGGTTTTGAATTTGCTTAATTAGGTTTATCATCACTTAAATCATGTTGGAAATGTCATGGGTGTACCTGTGAGGTCATAGCATCACAATTGTGATAATTACATTTGTTTCGGCTCCTTTTTGGCTGCTTTGAAAGGGTGTTGGTACAATGGATATTCGTGGGATGTGCTTAAGTATTCGGACTAAGTGGTCTCCTTGGCAACACTGCAAAACAGCCATGGGTATAACTAACAGATCATTTTAAACAAGTTGCGCAGTAACCTTGCTTGTATGAGCCAATTAGCATGAAAGAGTTTTTATTCACTCTGAGTCGGTTGTCATGGACCTGTTAGCACGGGTCAGTATGAGGCAGTTTACCATGAGCCCATTTCTGTGAATGAGTTGGCATGAACTAGATTTTACCTGGAGTCAACATGAACATGTTAGTATGAACTGGTTTGCTGAAACGGTATGAACCAGTTTGGCAGTTATCAGGAGCCAATCAATTTTTACCAGGAGCCGGTAGGCACACGTTAGTATGAGCCAGTCAGTATGAACCAGTTTATCATGAGTCAGTATGAGTCTGCCATGAGACAATATGAACCTGTTTGCATAAGCCAGTTTACGATGAATCATTCAATATGAGTCTGCCATTAACCACTTAGTGTGAACCACTTTTTCATGAATCAGTACGAGCTTGTTTGCCACCAGCCATTTAGTATGAACCGGTTTGCATGAGCCACTTTACCATGAGTCATTTAATATGAGTCTGCCATTAGCCAGTTAGTATGAAGCAGTTTTTCATGAGTCCATGAGCCAGATAGTATGGACCGGTGTGCATGAGCCAGTTCACTAAACCTGTTGCAGTGCATCATTCTACACCTACTGTGTCTCATCCAGTTAGTACCAGTAAAAGAACTAACCTGTAATTCGTGGCATGATCTAGCTACTGTAGAGAGAGATAAAGGAAAGAAAAATGTTAACCAGTGGCAGACTCCGGTTTGCTACCATCTGCTTAGGAAAGGGGTGTGAAAGAGAAGAAGAGTTGGTAACAGTAGGGAAAAAAAATGTGGTTACTGGAGCACTATCCGAGCTTTATAGGAAGCAACATTGCCCGCAAACAGTCACAGTTTGTCTCCAAGTTCGGTTGCTTGCAGGAACCACAAAAACGCCCTACGAGCAGCTCGTGATGCAGACCGGGTATGCCAGGGCCCCAGGATTTTGTTCTCTGTCAGGGGGTGGTGGTCCCCTGACACTCTACTGAAGATAACTGATTAACAGATCTTGGTGCGAGGGGGATGCGGATCAGGCAGCACTTGATTATCAAGCTCCACTCATGGCGAAGTTTATCGACATTTCTGTTGGGAATCTTAGTTGTAGCAGACATCTTCTAGGGGATAAGTATCATTGTAATGAAAATCGCGTCATTCGTAAATGGAGGCCATCGGTACTATGAGGCTTTCTGAGCAGAGGACACTTTTTTCCTACACTCGCACTTGAGGAGACCTGAATGTAAAGTCTTGGATTTCACTAATATACTGAACGCAGAAACTCCTTCAATAGCCAGAATGTGCAAAATTGTTCGATGCAAGTATTTTCGTGAAGTGTACAACTGCGGCAGGTGTTTTTCTTTATTCACCCATTGCAGAATGTGAAACGGTCTTGTGGATAATTTGAAATCAGTTTCTTCAACTGCCAACATGTATTCTACAGGGCGGGAAAAAAAATCCTGGGTGTTTCATTGAAGATGACTGAAGTTTCTTGAAGACTGGAGCCAGTGAAGAGTGACTACATTTTATCTTGTGGTGCGTAGGGTGTGGCAGTGACTGTTATTTATTCATAGTACCTCTGAATAAATATGACATCATTCACTGATTGCACCGGTTTGGTTGTGATGCAACTTACTGGTCTCAGCTACTAAAAAAATTTGTTTTCTTATATTTAAGTGCATTTTAAAGTGTACTGCATGTACTGCATAATTATGTCATTGTCATGATAATGGCATGCAAGGCCCCCGAGTTCGTTTAGCAGTACATGCTTTAAGTGCACGAATTCCTTCGGCAGGAGCAGACTTTCCTGCATCCTTGCACTGAGCTGTATCTGCTTCCTTGCACTGAGCTGTATCAAAGCAGTTTGGTGAAGTACATTATGAATTGGACTGAGACTGATCCATATGTCTTCATCTTCACATTGGTGATGGCCCTTCCTAAGGGTTAAACGGCCATCATGAGGCCATTTATAGCTTTTAACCATTCATGCTTGGATAGTGCATTTTTCAAATATGACGTCATCTCCACTAGCCACAGTCCTCAAGAAAACAGTCTTCTCTGTACAAAGCGTGCGCTATTACGGACTTTTTGTACGAATTGCTGTGCAAGCCTTAGCTGTGCCTAGTCTCATTTGAAGCTCAAGCTACTGGCCGCATAGTGCGAGAAGAACAAGTTTGCTTGAACACTAGTTCCAGAAGTAGCACATATATCAGATTTTTAATCTCAATGCTTGTACATCTTAAACCCTAATTACTGTTCTGGCAAACATCCTGTTTAATGAGAAGCTCTTTCATAGTGCATGGCATGCTACACACTCATGTTCAAACTGGCATTGGTACATGCATCTTCGTCAGGCTTCTTAACGTCATGATTGGGCAATGGTTGCAGCAGTGCTCTTGAATCGAAGTTCAATTTGTTAAAGAGTATTAGTTCAAGAGTCTGTATTACTTCATGTAGTGCACTTACATCTTTACATTCCTTGTGGACCGATGGTGCTCTGAGATGCTTTTTATGAAGACAGGATGGAGCCAGAACAGTCTACTGTACTGCATATCTTTTGCACCGGTTTCTCATAAATACGGTTATCAGAATGTTGTATGGAGCTTTGCTTAAGGTATAGATACAGCCTGATAGGCAGATTATGAAAGCTGAATGTTGGTCTAGCTTTGGTCTAACTGTTGCAGTCCTGCTACTAAGCACATAGTAGTTCATGGCTGTTTTTTTGCACAGATAACGTTGATCTGTCAATACAAATACACTCAAACCTTCATATAACAAACCGGGATATAAGGAAGTAAATTAAGAAAAGTTTTTCAATGGATAGAGTGTAGGAATATATACCTTTTTTATAACATATTTTTAGATATGGCTTACTTATCAGATGCAACTTTGTTATAAGGAAGTTTGAGTGTAGTGGATTTGTCACAGACCACTTCACGACAAGGCTTTACGGAGAGGCCGACTTGCGTGTGGCCCGGATGAAAACGACATGTTTTCATACGCGTCTCTTTCTGTACTGTAAATGTCTGCCAACTCGTTCAGATTACTGCTTATTGCGCAACGAGCTGTTCTCAAATCCACAATGAGGGATGCCATGTTAGCCGTGATCCGCAGTGGCGACTACAGGAATGCGTTTCTGATGTACCCTCAGCATGGTGTTAGAACACCTCTACAAGATAAAGATTCTGAGCCAAGTGTGCATTGCATGATTGACCGTAAAAAACAAATGCCCTGTGATGTAGGCATTGACTTGTGCTGTAGTGTGTCTAGCGTGAGGTGTGAAATTGGCCAAATATGGCTGCACTTTGAAAAGTACGCCAGAAATGCATTTCTCGTGGTTGTGGTTTACTAGATATCGAGATGGCATCCATGAGTGACAGCCTCGCTGGCATTGTTTCCTTGCAATGCCGGAGCTGTCTTGTAATGTGCTGGAATCGTTGTTCAGCTTGCTAAGCAACATCCAAGAGCTTTATGTTAGCCACACCTACTTGCTATGGCCACACCAGCTCATGCCTAACAGTTGCGGGAAGCCAAGTTGCTTTGAGATGCTTACCTTATACTGATGAAACTAATAGCTCTAGGTTGTGATAGACGAGCTCTAGGATTTATGGGTAAAGTGTGGAAGCCAGGGAAATTATGTATCGGGTGATTTCAAATTTTGTTGCCTCTGGCCTTTATTGAAAAAGTAAATTTGCATCAAGTGTATGAGTAGAAAAGTCAATTCCTTTTTTAATGCCAAAATTTAATTGCATTAGTTTCTTGGTCTCTCAAAGCAACACCTAAGGCTTCAATTTGTTGCTGGTGTGGCAGTATTGTTGAAATGCAGTGCACCTGCATTTGGCTTGTTAGCAGCCTTAGCGAGGCTTGTCTCACAATAGACGAAACAGGGCAGCATGTGTGAGGCTTGTGCACATGACTTTCAAATACATGCTCGACGAAGGTTGAACAAAACCACGCTTTGATTTTGAGCAATGGCGGACTAGGAAGGCAATGATGGCAGTGCTAGTGTTGCAGAAGGCTTCGATTGCTTGTTGTTGCATGCGGGGAAAACAAAAGAGAATGCTCTCCATAAAAAGAAAACAAAAAATCTGCGTGCTGGACTGATCCAAGACGAGTGAGGCGCCAACCTTTCCTACAAGGGGTCCCCCCTCTGACCGGGTGTTCGGTCCACCGCGGCGGCGGCAGCTACTGTTGGGAGTGAAAATGGATGGATAGACGGGACCGTGTGACCCTTCGTGACCTTTGCCAGCTGACCTTTGGCGGTGTCCCGCTCTGTTCTTCCTTGCAGGGTGTCATTCAGCTGGGTGACATTCGTTGCACTCTGCACTACAGCATTCCCAAGGAAGGCTTTGGCAGCTTGGACCGGGGCGGGATGATGGCCCGCACGGACTGGAACTGCAGCAAGGTCAGACTTAACCACTTCAATAAATTGTTCAGTTCAATTAAAAAGTCAGTTCGCACAAGCCTACTGAGGTGCTTACAGACTGTTGTTAGAGCTCTTTGAAATAATTTCTGGCTGTTAAATGCTATGGCATTGAACAGGAAAGTATACATTGAAGCTTTACTGAAAAACAAGTTACATCATTTTACAAATTCCTTTATAGTCAGTTACAGCCTAAGAATAAATGTAAGCTCCGCCACAGTGGTGGCCGTCCATAATTTCGATAAATATCCCAGTAATTGCAATCACTTATTTACAAGATGTCAATCGAGACCTTTTACATATTTCAGGCATACGACTTGGCCGTAGAGGCACGGGTTCATTTCGATAGTTTTCGTTTGAAAAACTTTACTTCTTGGCAAGTTTCATCAAAAATTCTGGCTTCTCTGCTCAGCCAAGTGCAACCTTTTATAAAAAAAACGACAAACCTTTAGTTTATAATATGTGTAGTATTTGCATAATCAGCGAAGTGCTTATGGCATGAACGGAAATGGCCAATCATTGCTCTGTTGCACTGGTGAATGACAGGCAGGCGGCAGAACTGGGGACGGAGTGCATATTTATTCTTAGGTTGTAATTGACTAATAGTATTTCCTAAGGTGACAAGGAGCCTCTCTGGAGCTGTGGCAGACTGCTGCTTCTGTGCTGTGCCTGAAAGTGTAATAATGACGTGCTTTTTTTTTTTTCAGTGTGGGGTGAATAACTTCAGGCGCCGAGACAGCTGCTTCAAATGCAGTGCCAGCAGAGAAGGTGAGTCGTAGTTTGCGGTAGTGGCTGTTAGTATTGCTTGTTAAGACTGAATGATTGGTGCAATCAATTGGTCATAATTAAACATAACTGCATTGTCACAGCAGAAAGATGAGGTACACACACCTCTCACCTGTGTTAGAGATTTGTGCTACGTCATGTAAACCATTCATTATGTTTTGTGTTTCCACATTTGATATACTATTATGTATAATAATTTTAATTGTAGAACCTGAACGAAATCCTTACACAGTTCATCAATGCTGTTGACACTGAAAATTGACAACATTGTAGATGAAATATTGACTTGCTTATTTTGCATGATAGCCATTGATCTGTAATGGCATGTTCACCTTGATATGAATTTTGCAGATGCTGAAGCGTCAGGCACGGGTGACGGCTACGATGAGATCAGCTCTGTGCCTACCAACAGTAAGTGGAGTGCTCATCCAACTGCTCTCTGTTTTGGCAAGCTGTGCTTCAGTAGCTGCTCCAATTAAAGTACCGTATTTACTCTCATAATCTTCGCACTTTTTTTTACCAGAAAACCGATGCAAAGTTGGGGGGTGCGAGAAGTACACGAGGGAAAACTTTCCACGAAAATGCAGAAAGCGAAAAAGAAAACGGAGTGGCCGCAAATCGGGATTCTCACATTAGAAACTTACAGCAAGCTTTAAGAAGTACTAATTAGAACTTACCTCAACAATAAAAGCAGAGGTTCAACACAAGGCAAGATTTATTTGTGACACAAAAAGTGGAAGCAAATAGTCCAAATTAGAATAACATACGCGAAGCTTGTGGGCATTGCGGGCGTAGCAGTAGCGGTCGGCGCTCAACAGGAGCCCTCAAAAGGTAAGCGTAGGACGTCAGTATTAGGCTGATGGCTATTTGACAGAATCGTCTGCACTTTCCTTTTGAAGAAATAAAGTTTACCATCAATCCCAGTTTGGGGCACACAGCAGGCCTAACGCGTCTTGGTGGCTTTCAGCTGCCATCACCAGTAGCAAACACAAAACTCGAAGGCTCCGAAGGGCCTACTGGCGGCCCTGTTGCCGTTGTTTAGCGCATGATCTATCACTTGCAACTTGAAGAGCAGCTGTGTGGCTTCAGTATCGCCCCATAACGTGCCAAGATTACCGACACAACATACAAAATACGCCACAAGGCGCACTGGCCACTTTGGCTTGGCTTCGCTTGCATTGAATCTCCGTGCAATAGTACGCTTGATGCTTAAGAGATGGCGTGCGCTATCATCATCAGTGATGATAGCGCACGCAATGATGGTTGCCCAGAGTGACCTGCTGATAAGAATCACCGAGCTCGAGACTGCGTTGGCGATAGAGCAAGAGGAAACGAGGGCTATGGGAGAAAGGCTGAAGTCCACCGAGGAAGCACTAGCCAAGGTGAACAGAGGAGCGGCCTACGGAGAGAACAGTTAGGAAACCGGCAACCAGAACGGCGGAGAAGGAAGAGCAAGCAAGTTTGGAAAAAAACAGGTTCAGCAGGTTCGATTGTCGCAAGGCCCAGCTTCAGCGAAGTAGTGGTGGGGCTGGGAGGGGACAAAGCAGCCGGCGACACAGGTGCAAGTAACCCCCAGGTGCAGGACGCTCCAGCTGAAAAGTCACAGCATGTGATAATCGCCGGGGACTCGAATTTAAATCGACACACACAAGCCATCAAAGAGAGTGTAAGAGGTGACAAGAGGGATGCAGTAGGGACATTCCCAGGACGCAAGCTGGAAGCAGTCATGAGGCAAGCGAGACAAAAACTCAAAACTACAGCTGATAGACGAAACTTCGTGATGATTTCAGGTGGTTTAAACGATGTCTTAAATAAATATGCAGCAGGACTTGCAACCACACTGGCGAAAGGCGTCGATGACATGCGCACCACTTCTGCGCACCAGGTAGTGCATGATACGGGAGGTACCGGTGTTGTGATAGCAACCTGCAAAAAGTGGTTGTCAACGCAAACCAAGAGATATGGCGGATGAGTCGAGAGAAAGGCTTTGAGGTGGTGGAAATAAACAGAGAGGTGCATAGGTGGGGTGGTTTTCAACGAGACAGAATTCACTTCGATGGGCGGCTAGGTCATGAGGTGGGTTGGCGACTTGCAGGACGCGCAGTAGCTTTTTTGGGGGGCAAGCGGGCCCTTCGTGGTGCAGGATAGCTAGTAATGAGGAAAACAACGAGGGAGACTCTTTGACATGTGGTATGGACAGATACGATTCCAAAATGGCACTAGTACCCAAAATAGGTAGAGTCCGGGACAGAAATAGACGTAGCCACGAGCGCCGAGCCAATTCAGACATAGGATATATTAACATGCAGGGTGGTAGGAACAGGCTGAAGTGGGAAGAGATAGAACAGCTAAGGGAGGAGAGGCAGATGGTATACGGTTTTGTAGAAACACATCTCAGGGACATGGACCAACCTCCTAACAATCAGGACTACACGTGGGAATATTGTAATAGAACAGAAGGCAGCAGAAAAAGGGGTGGTATTGGGGCATTCATTCATAAAAGTACAGACTGGCAAAGGGTCCAGCAGGAGTGCAAGGAACATTTATGGCTAAAAGGGAAAGTGGCAGGGCAAATGACACTCCTTGGTTTCGTGTACTTGTGGACGGGAGCAAAGGCCAGAGAGGAAAACCAGGCAATGGTAGAGTGTATATCAAATGACATTCAGGAGTTCGGAAGAGAGTGCAAGATAATTATACTAGGAGATATGAATGCGCACATAGAAGATGTAGATAGGGTATACCGACCCGACAGGCAAAATGATGATAGATATGTGTGAAAGGCTTGATTTGATCTTTTGCAACAGTACTGAGAAGTGTGAAAGGCAAATAAAATGGGAGGTAGGAAGGCTGCAGTCGGCAATAGATTATACACTGATGTCACATAGGATGTATGATAAGCTCAGGGGAATGCACATAGATGAAGGTGGCTCCAGAAGTCTGGGTAGTGGTCACAAATGTATCAAGCTAAGTTTTGGAAGAGCAGTGAAATTGGGAAGGAGACAAGATGAGTAACTACAGGAAAATTTTTATTCAGAAAGGCAAATTGAAATAACCACTAAACAAATTGAGAAAGTAATCACTCAGGATAATAATAAAACAGTGTTGACATACACAAATCTAATTAGACTGTTTGAGCTAGAGCTTGCCAAGGAACGTCACAAGTCATCCCGGAAAAGAAGACACAAACCATAAAGTTGGTGGGATGAAGAAGTTAAGAGAGCCATAGCAAAACGTTGGGAAGCCTCTAGGGAACACAGACATGCTAAGCAGCGGGGTGAATGGACAGATGATGTTGAAAGAAAATGGGAAATTTTTCTAAGCTGTAGAAGGGATGCATCTCTTTTGATCAATGAAAAGATTAGAAGAAAGGGAGCTCAGTGGTTGGCAGAAGTACATAAAAACGATAGAAAGGCATGTGCGAATTTTTTGAACCATAAAAACTCCCTAAGAAATGAGACGAGCCTAGAGCAGTGATTTACAACTACAGTGCAAGGTGCTAGGCTAAAAGGGGACGAAGCTATTGAATATATAAGAACAAGGGTGACAAAAAAATTTCAACAAAGAAGTAGTTTGTAGCACCATAATAGACAAGAATGAATCAAGTGGCGCAATGGCTTCCATTTTCACAACAAGAGTGAGAAAGGGCTGAGAAAATGGTTCCTAGTAGTACATCAACAGGCCCAGATGGCATTCCAATTATGCTACAAAAGACATTAGGTCCGAAGTCTAAGTAGGCTTTGAGAGAGGCAGTGAGCAAAATAATAATCAATGGTGAAGTTCTCGATGGATGAAAACTTAGCAGGATGAGCATGATCTATAAAGGAAAGGGGGACAAAGCTGACATAAACTACCGTCTTATAACAGCTGACATCAGTGGTCTACAGGCTGGCGATGCAGATTATAAAGGAAAGACTGCAGGCATGGATAGAGGATGGGATGCTGGGGGAACTGCAGAATGGGTTTCGGAAACACGGGAGGTTGGAAAACAATCTGTTCTCACTGACGCAGTGCATCGAAATAGTAGAAAATGAACACAGGTCCCTGTGGCTAGCATTTTTGGATATCAAGGGAGCGTACGACAGCGTGGTTCAAGAGGAATTGGAGGAAATACTGGACACACTAGGCGTGGAAGATGTAGTCACTAATCTTTTAAAGGATATCTATAAAGGTAACAAGGCAATTATAAAGTGGGAAAAACAGGTATCCAAGCCTGTAGAGGTGAAATGGGGGTGCTTAGGCAGGGGTGTCCCCTGTCACCCTTATTATTCATGATGTACCTACAAGGATTAGAGGCCAAATTAGAGGGAAGTGGACTGGGCTTCAACCTGTCTTTTGTCAAACAAGGAAAACTCATTGAACAGGCACTACCAGCATTGATGTACGCAGATGATATAGTGCTAATGGCCGACAACAAGGAAGATTTGCAGAGATTGGTGGACATCTGCGGTAATGAGGGAGATAGGTTAGATTTCAGATTCAGTAAGGAAAAATCGGCGGTCATGATTTTTATTGACAATGAAGGTAGTGAGCTTAGAATACAGGAGGTCACGCTAGAGATACCAGATGAATACAAATATCTGGGTGTATGGATAAGCAATGGGGCCGTGTATCTAAGGGAATACGAAATATACGTGTCGACTAAAGGTAACAGGAATGCAGCGGTAATAAAAAAACAGGGCACTGTGGATTTACAATAGGTATGATGTTTTGAGAGGAATATGGAAAAGGGGTCATGGTTCCTGGCTTGACGTTTGGCAATGCGGGCTTGTGCATGAGATCAGAAGTTCAAGCAAGATTAGAAATTAAGCAACGTGGAATAGGTAGGCTTGCTTTAGGAGCTCACGGGAATACACCAAATCGGGGAGTATAAGGTCATATGGGATGGACACCATTTGACTGCAGGGAAGCTAGCAGCGAGATAAAATTTGAGAAGCGATTGAGAGAAATGGGGGAGGAGCATTGGGCTAGGAAGGTATCCAGCTACTTGTACATGAAGAATGTCGATACAAAATGGCGGAAGCGAACCAGAAAATTGACTGGTAAATACTTGGAAAACAGCTAGGGGGCCAAACCAAAAAGAATTATCGGTTAAGAAAAAGGTGAAGGAAGCTGAGACTGATATGTGGAGAATTGGCATGATTAAGAAGTCTGCACTAGAAATCTAACAAACTTTTAAGCAGGAAATTGCCAAGGAAAGGATCTATGATAATACTCGGGGTAGTTCTCTACTGTTTGAGGCCAGGACGGGTGTACTGCGAACCAAGTCATATCGGGCCAAATATGAAGGGGTAGACACGGTATGCAGTGCGTGTGGAGAGGAAGAAGAAACTGCCGAACACTTGATAATGTTCTGTAATGGGCTTCACCCTATAGTTCAGGATGATGGCGCAGAGTTTTTCAAAGCACTGAGG